TGGGACGGGGGATGGCGGGTCCCCGCAGCCCAGCCGTGACTCACATCCCCTCTCCCCACAGCTACGCCATCCTCACCCCCGAGACGTGGCCGTCCTGGCGCGGCGACGAGCGGCAAGGGGTGCAGCACTTGCTGCGCTCCGTCAACATGGACCCAGACCAGTACCAGATGGGTCGGAGCAAGGTGTTTGTCAAGAACCCCGAGTCGGTAGGTGGCCCTGCTCTGTCCTTCGCCCCGCAGCCTTGCATCCCTGGGGGCCGCTGCAGGCAGCTGAGCAGCGCTTTGGGCAACGCTGGGGAGGGTTTGGGGGGCTGGTGTGCAGGAGAAGCCGTGCAGCTGGGGCTTGGTGGTCCCTGGCCGGCCGTGCTCAGCACCCCGTGTCCCTCCCAGCTCTTCCTCCTTGAAGAGATGCGGGAAAGGAAATTTGACGGCTTCGCCCGGGTGATCCAGAAGGCCTGGCGCCGGCACGTTGCCATCCGAAAGTATGAGCAGATGCGAGAGGAGGGTAAGGCCGGGCAAGGATGGGGACAGCAGCACCCCTTTTAGGGGGCCCTTTGTGGGGACAGTCCAGCCGCCAGAGCAGCAGCCTGGCTCCTAATTGTGGCACTAATGAGGGCCGTGACGAGGGACCGGACCGTGAGATGCCCGGGGTCTTTTCCTACATCTTAAAGGAGGGCACGGATTTCTTGCTCCTATTTCCAGGCCTGGGAGGGGTCGTAGGACAGAAACCAGATCCTCGAGCTTCTCGTTCTGCATTTCATGGCCTGCAAAGGATGGAGAGGAGAAGCTGGGAGTCAGCATTTGCAGAGGGGTGGGAAAGGCCAGTGGTCACCGCCTGACCCCATTAGAAGTGTTTTTTTAGCCTCCCAAGCGTGCAGTGAAAAATCAAGGGGAGGAAACCCAGAAAGCAGCTGAGTCCCTCCCACCCTCTCACAGCACAAGGTTTTTTTTGAAGGCAATTAATGGGTCTTGAAGCCCACCAAGCTGCAGCACCTTGGATTCCCCGCGTGGCATGAAACAAGCCCCACTTCTTGCTGCCACAATCTGTGTGACAGCTCCCACAGCTCCCACAGCCGGTTTGGGAGGGCAGGCACTGGCCGGGCAACTGGGCAGGGGCCGATGGCTGAGCCGCCAGCAGAGAGCCCTCCCCAACCGGCATCGCTTCGGGGTCCCTCGCAGCCTCCAACATCCTCTACAACTTCAAAGAGCGGAGGAGGAACAGCATCAACAGGAATTTCGTGGGTGATTACCTGGGCATGGAGGAGCGGCCGGAGCTGCGCCAGTTCCTGGCCAAGCGGGAGCGGATAGACTTCGCCGACTCCATCACTAAGTACGACCGGAGGTTCAAGGTAGGTGGACCTTGGGACAGGCCAAGCTGTGGCTCATGGTGGCTGCCCTTGGGTGGGGTGTGTGTGAGAGGCTTGGGCCCCCCTGCAAACACCCCCTCCCACCCTGCTTGTGCCCTTTCCCAGCCCATCAAGCGGGACTTCATCCTCACCCCCAAATACTTCTACCTGATCGGGCGGGAGAAGGTGAAGAAAGGTCCTGAGAAGGGGCAGATCAAGGAGGTGCTCAAGAAGAAGGTGGAGCTCCAGGCGGTGAGCGGCGTCTCGCTGAGGTGTGTCCCTTGGGATGGGCACCGCACGGGCGGTCAGGCTTCACC